TCCACCCTCCCAAGCATGATGTCCTCCTTCATTGATCAGTGTCTCCTTACAACATGACCAAAGTATGTCAGACGAAGCCTCAGAATCCTTGCCTCCAAGGAGCAGCCCGGTTTAGCCCTCTCCAGGATTAATCTGCTTGTTTTCTTAGCAGTCCATGGTACCCTCAATACTCTTCTCCAGCACCACAGCTCAAAGACATCAATTCTCCTTCCATCCTCCCTAGTCATTGTCCAGCTCTCAAATGCATAACAAGTGATTGCAAAGACCATGGCTTGTATCAGACGCACCTCAGTCTCCAGAGAGACACCATTGCTCTTCAGTACTTTGGAGAAGTCCCTAATAATACCTAATCATATATTCCTTTCAAACACATGATACCTGTTTCTAAGGAAACATGCCCGGAGTGTGTGAGACCAAATTTCACCCCTCATTCCTCTAAGGAGCACCTTCACTGCGCTTCCTCTATCGCCGATTTCTCTGTGCTTGTGACAGTCCATGGCCTCTGGTAGCCTAGTGGGTAAGGAGTTGTACTGCCAACCTAAAGACAACCTGTCTTTTGATTTCTTGACTATTAAGGAAATCATTGACAACTTCAATTTTGTCTCACAGTTTAGGAGATGAAAGTCCAGGTTCAAGGAGCTGTGGTTCAGGGACGTAGGGAGCTGCAGTGCTAACCCAATGGCTGCACCTCTCTGGTCATTTGAATCCACTTGCTGCTCTTTGGGAGAAAGAGGAACAATCTTTCCCCCTGCTGATCTGCTGCCATGTGATGTGTAACGGACGGTCAGCTGTGCGTTGGTTCTGACTTTACCGCAGTGAGTGTGAGTATTTTGAGCTCTAGGAGAAGGACCTTATCTCTTCAGCTTCAGTTCCTTGATCTTTCTATGCGTGACACTTCTCTTTCCCATCTGTGCTTTCTTCTGTGCCTAATCAGTTCTTTTTAGATCTTAAACTGGATTTAAGATATGCTGATAATAGACTTTGAAGCTCCATCTGACATAACTTTGGGCATCATGCTTGGAAGGGTGGAGGGGGAGAGCAGGAGAGGAAGGCCCTGGATGAGATGCATTGACTCAGTGACAGAGGTAATGGGGGCAGATGTGTCAGAAATAGTGAGATTGGCTTAGGATAGGACAGAATTCCGAGCGATTGTGCATGGGATCACTGTGAGTCGCAAGCAACTTGACGGCACATAACAACAAAACAAAGAAAACTCTCTTCCCAAGTGGGATTTTATCTGTAGTTACAAGGACTAGTAGTTTAATACCTAATTGGGAGAAGGGACATGGTTCAATGAGAGGCATATGGGAACTGTGGGTGACCCCGACCTGGTCCACTGAGCATCAGGAAATGTCGTCTAGGAGGACGACTGAGGCATCTACACTGAGAGGTGAGTGGCTGGAGAACCCCTTCGCCCCGAGGTCCCCTGCTTCCAGGCTTTCCCCCAGTTGGCTGCATCTTGCCCTGGAACTCAGCATTTGTTGTTGTTGTGTGCCAGAGTCGGAACCAACCCATAGCTGACCCTCTGATGGGTTTTCAGAGGCAGTTAAACACACAGGAGGAGATTGCCCATCTCTCTCGTGTGCAACAGCTGGTGGCCTTGAACTGCTTGCCTTCAGGATTGTTGCACAGCTCCTTGCTGCTAGGCTAACAGTTCCTTTGGCTATTGCACACTCTGGATATTGTTTTTTAAAAAGATCTGGCTTTAGGTAATTTCATGTGTAAAAGGATCTTGCTCTTGTAAACCCAGTACTTGGCAGAGGCCTGACACACACCAGAGATCAGTGGGTGTGTTTCAGAGGCCAGTAGGCCCTGGAGGAGTCCAGCAAATCTTCCTCTCCGATGGATAGTCCATATCAAGGAATAGTACTAGGACCCTCCCCATCTCTACCAGGCCACTTCACTGGAATGTCAGGTTGCTTCCTGTGCTGAGGACATCCCAGACCTAGATGGTGGGGCAACAAGCAGGGAAAGGAGATAAGGACCTATCACCAGAGCAAAGAGGGAAAACTTTTCCCCAGAATCAGTGCCCTGCATTCAGACTTCTAGCCCCTAACCTGTAAGAAAATACATTTCTGTCAAAGTAAAAAGTAACTTAAAAGAGAAAAAAGTTGACAGAGTGTGTTGTCTGCACATTTCCTTTCCCTATGCTGCTTGCTTGGAACCTGGTTAGCCATTCTCAGTGGTTGGCCCGGACTTAGAAACATTCATATTGAGAATCTTGTTAAAATTTAGTTTCTGACGTAGAATATCTGAGGTGGAAACGTAAGTTCTCCAACATCACAATTTAATGGTATTGATTCTTCTGTCATCCCTATTTATTGTCCAGCTTTCAGATGCATAGGAAACAACTGAAAAAAAAATTATGGTTTGGATCAGGTGCACCTTAGTCTTTAAGTGACATCCTTGCTCTTCGGGCTTTGGAGAGGTCGTTGACAGCAGATATTCCCAGTGCAACACACCTTTTGATTTCTTGACTGCTGCTATCATGGATGTTGGTTGTGAATCCAAGTAAAATGAAATTGTTGACAATGTCAGTCTTTTCCCCCAGCTATTGTGTTATTGCCTGGGGTCTCAAGGGATTTTGCTTTCCTAGGTACACCAAATTAAAAATAAGTAAATAAATAAATATTTTTTAAAAATTTATTCTTATTTTGTGTGTGTGTACCATCAAATCAGATCTGACTGGTACAGGAGGAGATTGCCCCTCCTTCTCCAGCAGAGCATCTGGTGGATTCAAACTGCACACCTCTGGGATTACAGTGCAGCTTCTTGACACTGGGCCACCAGAGCTCCCTGCTCTCCCTCTTTTTACAGTTGGTTTCAGTGTGCAGATTCATGGAAGTGTGAGACTTGGAAGAGTAAGAAGTTAAAGGCTTGAGGAAGTACAGCTAAAATGGTTACTTTTGCTACTAAGTTGGAAAGAAAAGTTGAGAAGTTGCTTTTGTCCTGAGACAAAGGAAGAGGCTATATACATATGAGATAAATTAAGGCTGAAGATCAAACTCTTTGATTTGACCATTGCTACCAATGGGGGTAGGTGTGTCAGACACAATAAGGTTGGCACAGGAGAGAGCAGGGTTTAGGGCTCTTGTACATAGGGCCGCTGTGAGTTGCAAGTGATTTGATGGTACATAACAACTGCCACTACCATGGGTGTTGATTGTGGATCCAGTCATGGACAATTTCAATCCTTTTTCCATCAATCATGTTGCCTCTTGTTCCGGTGATGAGGATATTTGTTTTCTTGCT